TAAACCAGGTTGAAGGTAACCTATGGGACTCAAATCTGTTGGTGAGTTGGGGGGGGTATCTACCCCAAGTCTGTGAAGACCCCCTGGAGGAATGGATGGATGAGAACAATTTGTTTCAATGGCCATGAAGGTACTGAATGAGTGGATTCGGAGCTAAGTTTCTGGAAGAGCAGCATATAGGTCAGAGACCAGTGACCAAAAGATGTAGTTTAGGGATCAGGGATCAAAGAAATGAGAGAAAAAACAAGCATTTCTCCAATTTGGAAAAAATAATTGAACTCAGAAGCCTGTTTTATTTCCTACCCTCTAGCTCCCAGAGAGTATTTGAAGGAACATATTTGCTAAAAACTTTCTGTTCACAGGTTATCCCGAAGCCCCCAAATTATAATGCGTCAGAGTGCTTTAAAGGAACCCCCCAGGGATCATCTACTCCAACCCCCTCACTTTCAGAAGAGAAAACTGAGGCCCAGAGAGGAGAATAAGTACAGGCAAGGCTCCCAACTAGTTGCACGAGTCCTGAGGCTCTGGGTGATATTTTGGGGACTCCCATCAGTTTTTGTTAATTTTCAGTGAAACCAGTGATTGGGTCACAGGGGTGGGGGTGGTCTGGCTTTCTCTGGTCCTCTAGATCACACAAAAGTGACAATTATGGCTCTGACTAGAAGAATTTTGAAGATGACTGAACCCAGGGGGCAGGGAGGGACACACACAGTTTTAGCTTTCAGTAAGCCAGCGTCCGTTTTGGATAAATGGAGGTTTCTTGGGCTTTCAGATGGTGCAATCTGAACACTGAGGACCTTCCATATCCCCCTCAGTCAGGCTGGAAGAACTTCATTTCTCAAGTCAGAGGAAGCAAGAAGTTTCCCAGGGTCTGACCTTCTCCACTGAACCCCAGCCTAGTGTTGGCTCCTGAGAGAATGCAATTCCAGGTGGAACACCAGCTGCAGAGGAGGAAAAATAATTTTTTTCAGACTCTTTAGCATGGCAGATTCCCAAGCCTGTTTCATCAGCCACATTGTCCCATCGTTTTCTAAACTCACATTGCTTTTGAGGTTTAACCCTTCGGTGTCTGATTCAGTGACTGTTTTTGAGCAATTGCTCTAAGGAAGAATTGTATATAATGAGATGAGCATTTGACTTGGAATCAGAAGACCTGGTTTTTTGCTGCTTTTTATTTCTTGGCTACAATGCTAATTGTGTGAACTTACTGAAGTCCCTTAACCTCTCAAAGCTTCAGTTTCACCATCTACAAAAAGCAAATATTAATACTTGCACTACCTACCCCACAGAGCTGTTATGAATTTTGAATGGGATTGTAGGTGGAGAATATTTTGTGAAGTGTAAAAGGCTGCATATATGGGAGCTATTATTAATAATATTTCATTAACAAGCATTTATTAAATTTCTTCTATGTGCCAGGCCCTGTGCTAAGTGCTGTGGTTACAAAGACAAAAATGAAAGAGTGCCTGCCCTCAAGAAGCTTATATTCTAACAAGGGACAATGGGAAGAGAATATGGAATATATAAGTATTTACAAAATATGGGCCAGAGCTGTGATTTCATTGATATAGCTTCCTATCAACTTCCACTCTGAATGTTCCTCTGTCAAGGCCGACCAGCATCTTCTCTGCACTTTAAACTCTTAGTGAGTTTCACTGAGAGGCTAAGGAAATTTCCAGGGTCACACAGCTAGTTTATAGCAGAGGTAGGATTCAAATCTAGTTCTTGCTGCCTCCAAAACCAGCTCTCTATCCATGATACCACACACCCTCTCATACAAAATTTTTTGCAGAGTCTAGAAATTGGAAGGGAAGAATCAAAAGTTTCTGTAAAGTCTGCTTTGGAACTCAGGCCTACTTTTCCCAAGAATTCCTTTGGGATGAACCCAATTCATTATCATACTCTCTGACCCCACTCTTGCTTCTAGGACACATTTAAATAATGTTTAGACTTCCACATTTCCATTGATTACATGCTAATATTCTCTTGGAGAGTAAATTCCTTGAAAACAGAGACTGTGCCTCTTCTTTAATATGTAAACCAGACCTGAGTTCAAATGTGACCTCAGATACTTACCAGCTGTGTGACCCTGGGCCAATCACTTACTTCTGTTTGCCTTAATCCACTGGAGAAGGAAATGACAAACCACTCCAATATCTTTGCCAAGAAAACCCCAAATGGGTTCACGAAGAGTCAGACATAACTGAACAACAAATAGTGATTAATCAGCAGAGCTGCAATGGGAACCCAGGTCTTTTGATTCTAGATACAGTATACCTTTTGTTTTACCATGCTGGCTCTCCATTACACCATGGTGTCATGACCACCATGTCTGGAATATTTTTTTGTGAGAAATGCATCTAGAGTTTCTGATTGGGATCCCAGAGCCCCATTTCCCCTCTCTGCAGTCTCACCAGTAGAAGCCAAGATTCCTCTGCTTCTTGCTCATTTGTCAGGCTGTAGGAATGAGGATTTTCTGAGCTCAGAGCTACTGAGCCTGGCTCCAGGGGCCTGTGGGAGGCACTCTAGTTTTGGGGGAAAGTAAACTGGGAAAGCTTGATGGGAGGGTTGCTGGGACTCTAGGGAGTCACTTTAGCCCAGACCAGTTCCCTTTCTCCTTCTTGCTCTCCCCCTTCTGTCTCCCCACTTCCCCCTTCTTCCTCCCCTTCCCCCCTAAAGTTTTAGGGGTTGCTCTACCTGTTGCTTCTGACTAGGATTTCTCCTTCCCTGACTTACTGAAGACCAAAACAATGTCTCAGCTTCCGTCCTACTTTTCTGTCCCTGATGCTAGGAAATCATACTTTTTGAGAGTAGGGATTGTTTCATTCTTTGTATTTATATTCCCAGTGACTAGCACATAAGATGTGCTTAATGATTACTTTTTGATTGGCTGACTGATTGATGGGTTGAAGGCCACTATGGGTTTTTATTGCTAGTTGTGCAGAAAACAGGGAATAAAGTACTTTGCCCTTCCTTCCTTTTTTCACTTTGACCCTGCAGCCCACTACAAAAAGATCCACGTTATAACCAGTGGACCTTTAGCTACATATAGGATTGAAGTGAAATAAATGTGTGTTTCTGAAAAACAGTACCATGGTACAGTGGAAAGGGGAGGGGATTTGAAGGCAGAAGACCTAGGTTCAAATCCCAGCACTGCCACTTACTGTCTCTGTGACCTTGGTCAAGTCGCTTAACTTCCCTCAACCTTAGTTTCTTCATCTGGAAAGTGAAGAGGTTGGATCTGTTGACCTCTAAGGTCCCTTCTAGCTTTAGGGTTATGAACCTATAAGATCAGATCTCTAGTGTTTTGTATATTTCTTTACAGGAGCAGGATCAAGCCTCTGGGAGGATAAGGATATGGAGCAAGGTTAGGGAAGCTAACTTTAAGACCATTGCTGGAGCTAGGGAGCAGATGGAGGAGTGGCGTGGTTTTGGGGTGAAGTGTTTACCTTTCTCTTTTCCACTGTTCTGACCCAGCGTTTCAAATGTTGTGAGAAGCAAGGACCAGGAGTGGTAGGGATGGGCAGTCCCAGGTAGCTACACAGCATGAAGCCGCGAGGGGAGAAGGAAGGGAGAACAAGGGGGAAATTCCAAGAAACAATAACAAGAAGTTCCTAGAATTCCTGGGGTCATTTGGTGGGGTTGCATGTTCTCAGGCAGCCATGTATATGTATAGAAGGGCTATATTTAATTTGGGGGTACATCAGACTGGGACCACTCTGTTTACTCCATGGCACCCCAGAATCACTAAATCCTTATTGACTGAAGTAGAATGTCAGATTTCTCCCAAAGATAACAGAATATCTACATTGGTCTTTGAATGGAAGCTAGAATGAGAACCTAACCATTAATTAGTCAGCTGGCCAACAAGTATTTATGGAGTGTTTGTGTCTCTGGCACTATGCCAGTGCAATGGCCCATACACAACATTTAAAAGTCAAGGTCCCCCTACCAGGACTCAAGGGGCTTAGTATCTAACCAGGGAGCCAAGGCTCACAAGCATGAAACAATTAGAGAGTAATGTAAAGTTCTGTAATTGGGTGAAAAATTGTATTCCCCAGACTATAAGTTAATCCAAAGTTCAGAGGAAGGAAAGGTCATTATTAACCAGAGTAGTCAGAGAAAAATGTTGGAAGGAAGTGGATCTTGACTTGGATCCTGAATGATAATAAAATCTGGAAAGGTTGAGTATATGTATGTGTGTAAGGGGGATAGAGTTAGGGTGGGGTAGGGGCAGAAACTGTAGGCTATGGGAAAAGCTGTTATGACCCTGGCTCTGGAGGAGTGGTTTCTGATTGTACAATCAGAGATGCAGCTGTTTGCTGAATCGGAGGCATACGTCCTCACAGATTATACCCTAGATATAACAAGCCTGGCTCTAGGAGAGTGAACTAGCATGGTTGCAGATTGGTAAGAAACTGAGGAGCAAAGATGTCACAGATCCCTGAGGGGTCAGTCCCAGAGAGTGGGGTGGTAAAGACCACACAAACACAGGTGAGAGGAACTTGTCCCTGGGTTCTGTAGATCATTTCTAAGATCCTTTCCAGCCCCAAGTCTATGATTCTAGGAAACCTGACAACCAAAGCTTATAGCGTAGTTACATCTTAGAATCTTACCTGGCTCATCTTATGCTTCACTCTTTACAAAAAGCTCTCTGCTGAATTGTATTGATCCATTTCAAAATATGCACCAGCCGTGTTTGCCTCCTTCCCTTAAATACCTAGTGTAACCCATGGCAGAAATACCTGTACACATCACCTGGTAGCCCATATCAGCTAATGTGCTAACAAGTTGAGCAAGGTCCAGGTGGGAATTAGTATATGGGGTATAGGATGCTGGGGGGAGAGGGGAATATTAAAGAGGTTTGATATTAATTAGATGAACGATGGTGCTGGTGTCCCTCATGGTTGGCAACCCCCTGGCAATGTCAAACTGAGAATGCCTTTTGCACGTAGAATTACCTAACCAGGTCCTCCCTTTCTTTCTCCCTTGCCTTACAGGTCCACTCTTTCCAGGTGCTGTAATGCTCCTTCCTTTCTCTTCACCACCCAGAAAAACACCCCTCTGGGCACAAAGCTCAAGTATGAGGTAGACACGAGTGGCATCTACCATATCAACCAGGAAATCTTCCGCATGTTTCCCAAGGTGCTGTTGTTTTTTCATTCCTTGAAAAATGTTGGGGGGGAGGACAGGGGGAAGAAGGATTGTGTTGGATGAAAGACTAGACATAAACCTCAGCTCTGCATTCCCCCCAGTAGTTATTGTTTCAATTCACTAATCATTCTAGGCTATCCATTTCATGGATAATTCTTTTGACCCCAGATGGCCACTTCTTGGGTCCCAACTGGTCACTTTCTAGGTTATTCATGTTTTGACACATCGTTATTTGAGTTCTAATGTGTCCATTCCTTAAATTCCAGTTGGCCAAAAGTTGTCTGTGTGGAAATAAAACATGTAGGTTGGTCAAGATGCCCAGTTCATATCTGTGAGAATAGTAATGATGATAACATCATAATAACTCTTATCAAGCCATTATCAGGCAACTAATTGTACGTGCTGTTGTGTAGGGCATCATGCAATGAACACAACACAGACTTAGTCATTGCCTTCTAGGAGCTTATAATCTAAGACAGGCACAATAACGCAAATCCACACATAAAAGAAGTATGCAAGGGTAATGAGGTAACAATAAGCTAACAGAGAGCAAGGCAGTAAAAAAAAATGTCCATTTTGTATACATGATGGGAAATTTTTTTTTTTAGAGAGTAGCAGGGAATGGTGATAAGAAGTAGAAAGGATGGGCTGGGAAACAAGGTAGCCCAGTTTGTAAGAATTATGTTTAAAATAAGAGTGAGTAGCTCTGAGTAAAAGTTAAAAGATCATTCTTCATATTACAGCTCTGGGACAGCTTTAGGTTAGGAGAAATCATAGCATCTGAGACCAGGTAGGGCAGGGACAGCAGAATAATAACCTCTTTCTCTTCCCATATGCTTCCTTCCATGAAGGAAGGCTTCAAAGAAGAAATATATTTATATGTTCTTTAGTACGTCATTTATTTGGCATCATTCAAAATGAGTGTTCTAATGATAATTATAAACAATAATTCATACACACATATATCACTTTAAGGTGTTCAAAGTACATAATTTTCAAGTTAAGCTGAAGCTTATCCCTTTGAAGTGCCCAGATTTTGTTTCTTGTAACATTTCTGGAATGAAATCTTTCTCGAATGTATTATATGCTGTCCTGGCTTCCTCAACAGAGAATGCCAAACATAATTTAACCTTTTCTTGATGATTCAGCGTCATCATTCCAAGCATCAATTATGGTAGCCTGCTGTAAAGAGAAGCACAGATCTGCTGTTTTTGATTTTCCTGTCTCTTCCCCTGCTGTCAGCTGTCACCTCCATTGCTGTCAGCTGGTCTGCTTCTAGCACCACCGTTCCCCCAATTCTTGATCCTAATCTGCTATGGGTGGGGAAACCAGGTAGCCCAGTCTGTAAGAATTTTGTTTAGAATAAGAGTGAGTAACTCTGAATGAAAGTCAAAGTTCATTCTTTACATTATAACTCTGGGACAGATTTTGGTGATATTTAAAGACTTTCTTTTCCTTCTTTTCCTCATCCTCCACTTTCTTCTTCTTACCCTCCTTTTCTTCTTCTACCTAATGAATTTTCTCTATATAGTAAAGTGAGAGTGTTATTTTATAAGGTATATCCCATAACATCGACCTCATCTTCCAAAAAGCTCAGGGCACTGAGTTCTAGTCACATTCTTAGTAGTAGAACCGAGGAAGGAATTGGTTTGTTCATTTGTTTCAGTTGTGTCTGACCCTTTGTGACCCCATTTGGGGTTTTCTTGGCAAAGATACTGGGGTAGTTTGCCATTTCCTTGTCCAGCTCATTTTACAGATGAGGAACTGAGGCTATCAGTGTTAAGTCCAGGGTCACAAAGCTAGTAAGTGTCTGAGGCTGGATTTGAACTCAGGAAGGCAAGTTTCCCTGATTCCAGGCCTGGCACTCTGTGCACTATGGTGCTACCTTGCTGCCGAAGAATCGCTGGGTACGTTCTATTGAAAGGAAAATATAGGACCTTGGAGAGCAGAGTGATCAAGTCCTATGAGGCCAGAATGCTCAGTGAATTGGAACTCTGATCTCTCAGTAGCTTTTCCCCGGAGTCAAAAAAAAAAGTTCGATGTGTTCCAAGTCTTCTCTCACACATCCTGTAGAATATACTGAAGGTGGTTTTTTGGCCAGGGTGGGGAGGGGGGAAGAGAAAAAGAGGATGTGAGGCAAGATGAAAGGAATGAGTTAAATGCATCTTCCCAAGTTAGCAAAGTCAGAGGAAGTGCTGTTTCAGTCAGTTTGTAGAAGCTGGACTACATGAGGATAACTTTTGTCCTCCTAGGGATAAAGTTATGAGTCTGCTGGCATCTATCAGGTGACCAGTGGTGCCCTGGGTTACAGCCTCATAGTTTGAGCGAACAGTTTCCTACAGGTGTGGATAATTAACCATTTGTTTTGGGTACTGGGGGAGGGGATGACATCACATTTAAAGAGAACACAACAGGGTTTAAAAAAATAAAAGAAAACAATAATAACTGAGTCATGTAGTAGTTCCTCCACAGATGAACTTGTTCTTCCCCCTCCCTGAAAAATTTAAGAAGTCCTGTTCCTCTCTTCCCCACCCCCAATAGGCTATGTCCTGGTGGAGAGTCTCATCCTATGCAGTCCATTCCATTTGCAGTCTCCACACCCTCCCTATCAAGAAAAATGCGCAATGAATATGAATAATCACCTAGAAACAGGCTGCAATTCAGCTTGGGGATCTGACTGCATTCATTATTATTTCAAACCAATGTAATTTTCTACTAAGACATAAGCCTGGCTCCTTGACAGTGAGAGTGCTGGTACCCTGACACAAGCCCAGGGTGCCCTGCTGTGTTCGTTCTCAGGGACTTGCTCGCCCAACTTGCCTAGATCAAGGATGTGGGAGAAAAACTATCAGAACCTAGAATTATTGAAGGTCAAAGCTGAAAGGACCCTTAGAGATAATTTTAGCACAGTGCCTAGCACATAGTAGGCACTTAATAAATGTTCATTAACTGGCTGACTGATTTAGCTCAAATTCATCACTTGGTAGATAAAGAGATTGAAGCTCAAAAAGTGGGATGACATGTCCAAGGTCACACAACCTTTTCACAGAAGAACTTGGATTAGAACCCAGGTCTTTTGATTGCTATTCCATGGTCTTTTCTGTTTGAGGATGTTCTGGTACCTGTGTTCCAGGTCTCTCCTTGAGTAGCCCATTGAATCATCAGAATTGGTTCTGTGCTTTAGCCTCCCCTCCTTTTCCAAACACATGTCACGCTAGGTGTGACTTTAGCCTGCCCTAGGAGAAGTAGAGTGTCAGAACACAGGATAGATTGTGAGGTCCCATTGTGCAGACAGGTCAAATGCAAAGTTTTTGATTCAATTCTGTGTAATGCATTTTGGGAAGGAAAATGACAGGAATTCAGAGAAAGGTGACCTGGAGAGTGAGGAACCTCAAGATTCATGCCACAGGGAGATAAATGGAAAGAATTTAACTGGGATAGGAGAAGACTTTGGGAGGCCATGACAGCCATCTACAAGTATTTGGAGGTCTATCAAATGGAAGAAGACATGTTCTTCTTGGCCCTAGAGCATAGAACTGAGCATGACGGATAGAAGTTTCAGAAAGGTTGGTTTAAGCCTGATGTAAGGAAAACACTTTCTAACCATTAGAGCTGAGCAAAAGTGGGATGAGTTGTCCTTGGAGGCAGTCACTTCTCCCTCACTAGCAGTCATATAGGGAAAGCTGAGTGACTGTCATAGAGGGAATTCTTGGCATAATTAGATTAGATGGCCTTTGAGTTCCTTTCCAATATTGACCTTCTGAAATTCTGATGTTGCCCCAGCTACCTAGTGTCATGGGTTTTCTTTAGCTATCTTCAGCTCCCATGTTGGCTGCTCAGTGACAGGAAGGTCAATAAGTTATGTGACAGCTAATCCTATTATGGGATAGTTCTTGTTAGAAAGCTCTTCCTAAGGTTGAACCTTACACATCCTCCTTGGAAATGTTTTTCTCTGTGTCTTCATAATTTCATTATTGGGCATGTCCCTTTTCTCTTGAGCTATCATTCCCTAAGCATTTTATTATTTTTGAATAATATTTTATTTTTCCTCAATTACATGCAAAAATAATTTTTAACATTTGTTTTTTAAAATGTTGAGTTCCAAATTCTCTCCTTCCTTTCCCTCTCCCCTCCTTAACACAGAAGCAATTTGATATAGCATATGCAATCATACAGAACATATTTCCATATTAGTCATGTTTTGAAAGAAAACACACAGACAAAAAAACTATGAAAAAATAAAGAAAGTGAAAAATAGTATACTTTGATCTTCATTCAGACTCCAGATTCTTTCTCTGCAGATGGATAGTATTTTTCATCATGAGTCCTTTGGAATTGTCTTGGATCATTGTATCTCAGAGAACAGCTAAGTCATTTACAATTGATCATTGTACAATATTACTGTTATTGTGTACTATGCTCTCCTGGTTCTCGCTTCACATTGCATCAGTTCATGTAAGTCTTTTCACATTTTTTTGAAACCGTCCTGCTTGTCATTTCTTATAGCACAACAGTATCCCATTACTATCATATACCACAACTTGTTCAGTCATTCCCTCCCCTGAGCATATTAGCCCTTAGATCCTACTTGTCTTTCTTTTGAACCCTTTGAAATCTGCTTTCCCCAAATCTAAGATATGCGTCAAACTAAGTCCAGATTTCTTCTATCACAAAGTCTAGGATGGAATGATCACTTTTCCCCAAGATTCCCCAAGATTCACTTCTACTGCAGCCATCAGTTCCTCCTCATCAGTGAGAATCAAGATTCAGAATAGAATTTCCCATTTTTCCCCTTGAAACATGAAATTATCACTGAGGCACCTCAGAGGATATTAGCTTCTCTACTTTTGGCAGAGAGAGAAAAACAGACACAGACAGAAAAAAAAAGAGCTCTAGTATACATCTGGATAATTGAAGTCACCCATCACTACTTGATCAAATCTCTGTGCAAGGCTTGTGATCTCTTTCCCAAACTACTCAACTATTTCTTCTTTCTATTTAGATGGCCTGTAGTGTATTTCAATGATAAAATCACTTCTGTTTCTCCTTTAGGATCACAAAATCATAGGTGTAGAAATAGATAGAAACTTAGAGTCCATACTCTAACTTCCTCATCTTTTTTTTTCTTTTTTTTTCCTTTTTTCTTTTTGCTTTTTGGTAAGGCAATTGGGGTTAAGTGACTTGCCCAGGGTCACACAGCTAGTAAGTTTCATGTGTCTGAGGTTGGATTTGAACTCCTGTCCTCCGGACTCCAAGGCCGGAGCTCTATCCACTGTGCCTCCTAGCTGCCCCTCCTCATCTTTCTTATGATAAAATGAAGACCCAGAGAGGATAACTGATTTACCCAAGGTCACACAGTTAGTAAGTGGTCCCATTGGTCTTATTCTTCTTAGCCGGCTACCCCAGAGGATAAATTGATTCCATCTTCAATGTGGTATCTCTTCAAGTGTTCAAAGACAGCTATAATTCAGTTTAATTTAAAAAAACATATATTAAATATCTTCTAGGCATAGAGAACTGTGGTAGGCCCCAAGGGAAGATACAAAGTTTAGGTCCCTGCCCTTATGAATCTTATAGTCTGGTAAGAGAATAAGATACAATCATATCTTCCCCAAGATTTCTCTTCTCCAGATTAGACATCCCCAGCTCCTTCAATGGAGCTTCCTATAACATGGCTTCCAGACCCTTTCCTATCCTGGTTATATTATATCTCAGAAAAGTTACTCCAGGAACTGAATCCAGTTCTCCAGCTGTGGCCCGACCAGGGCAGAGTAAAGTTGGATAATCTCCTCTTTTGTGGTGGATGCTACCATTTTATTAACACAGCTTTAGATTGTTAGGTCCTGGGGAAATCTGTTCTCAGATGCCTGCTCTTCTCTGGTGCATCTTAGGAAGGGACCTCGGGCTCTGTGCTGCGTTCCCCAATAGTGCTTCTCTCCAGCTCCATGGGGGATGTGCTCACTCGCTTCTTGCCCTCTCAGTAGAAGTGGCAAAAGGCATTGGTCTTTCCTGCCCATTTAAGTTACATCCTCTGATTTTGGTGTATAATCAGTATCATGTCTTCTACCTCCCCTCAGAGAGCTGAGGGAAGGTCATAGGATTATAGATCTGGAACCAGGAGTGACCTTAGAGGTTGTCTTGTCTACCCCACCCCTTCCATTTTACAGATGAAGAAACCGAGACCTAGAGAGGCTATGAGACTTGCCCATAGTCACACATATTTGAACCCAAGTCCTCTCATGCAATATCCAGCTCTTCCCAAAGCACTAGGCTACTTGTTGAGCTAAAAGGGTCCGATGAGAGGTGGGGAGACATGGGGATGAGGATAGGGGTACATTTTGCCCTCTGCTGCCAACAGCATGAGTTTCCCTCACAATCACCTCCCTTGCCACTGATGGTGCGGTCCCATGTCATTTGCTGACATCTATCCTACAAAATTTTAAGCATTAAACACCACAATTTAAAATGTGAAAACAAAATCATTAGGAGAAGCTGAGATATGGACATCTCAGGAAGCAAAAACCTGCTCATTTTTGATACTGTATCGCATTGTGTATTGAGGGCATAGAGTCGATCCTTTTAAGAATCTAGGCTGGCCTTGGAGTTTCCTAGGCACAGTTGAATAGAGGTTGTAGAGTTCCTGATTGGAGGACATATTGCACCTGTCCTAAAGACATCTGAATCAGAATTCTATTCTCACTGTTAGGCAGGGAGCAAGCAGTGTGGGCTACCGGGGAGAGCCCTGGGGGAACAACGAGAAGACCTATCAGGTTTCAGTTTCAGTTCTGTCACTGGTTCTATGACCTTGGACAGGTTCTCCATCAGTAAAATGGGATAATAATGCCTCTCCCACTTATCTCTCCAGGGCCCATTGTGCGGATCAAAGAAAACAATAGATATAGATGTGATAGACTGTCATTGGCATTCTAACTGGTTGCTCACTGTCTCTCTGTAGGACATGCCGTACAATCGCTCTCAGTTTAAGAAGTGTGCAGTCGTGGGGAATGGAGGCATCCTGAAGAACAGCCGGTGTGGGAGAGAGATTGATAGTGCAGACTTTGTGTTCCGGTAAAAAGCACCCTTTTCTCTTCCTTGGGGTTTGGGAGATACACTCAGGGCCCTCTTGTTTCTCCATAGCTCTGAGACTTTCCCCTGCATCGCTCCATAGGGATGACCAGGGATTCTTAACCTGGGCTCTGGGAACTTGCTGAAAAAAATTTGATATGTTTCACTATAATTAATTTCCTTTATAATCATGTGTATTTTATTTTACTCTTAGGGGAAAAGTACAGTGGTAGGTGATGGAGGAGCTTAAGAGATTAAGTAAGATGGGGTCCCTGCCATCAGGATGCTCATGAATATTGTGTAGTCTCCTCTTGAAGACATCTAGTCACAGGCGCCTCACTCCTTCCATTCCACTTTTGGGTAGCTTTCATTGTTAGGAAGTTTTTCTGAACATTGAACTGAAATTTGCTTTTCTGCAACAATTTCACTTGACATTTAAGGCCTTCCACAACCTGGACCCAGCTGACCCTTCTTTCTAGCCTTATTTCATACTCTTTCTTCCTGTATTTATTCCATGATTTAGCCAAACTGAATTAATATGGTTATTCAATCTCATTTTGCTAGGCGGTAGTGGATAGAGCACTGGGCCTGGAGTCAGGAATATTCAAGTTCAAATCTAGCCTCCGACTAGCTATGTGACCTTGGGCAAGTCACTTAACTTCTGTCTACCTCCATTTCCTCAACTGTAAAATGGGTATAATAGCACCTACCTCTACAGGTTATTGTAAGGATCAAATGAGATCATATTTGAAAAGCTCTTAGCATAGTGCCTGACACATAGTAGGTGCTTAATAAATGCTTCCTTGTTTGCTTCCTTCTCCTTCCTTCCTCTTCATCCACCATGTATTGGGGCAGACAATCCCCTATGCCTGGAATACATGCGCTCTTCTTCTCCCTCTGTTGGAATCCTTTTCTCCTTCAAGGCCCAACTTTTCCATGCCACTTCTTTCATGAAGCCTTCCCTGATCCCACCCCTGGCTGAAGGTGATCTTGCCTCTCAGATTTCCTAGAGCATTTTGTCTAGATATTTACTTTGCATCTATTACATTCTACCTTGTATCATGATCATTTGTGTTCAGTTGCCATCATGGTATAATGGAATGAGTACTGGATTTAGATTCAGGAGTTGCTGTTGGATGATTTTTCAGCTGTGTCTGTCTCTTCATGACCCCTTTTTGGGGTTTTCTTGGCAGAGATACTAGAGTGGTTTGCCATTTCCTTCTGTGGCTCATTTTACAGATGAGGAAACTGAGGCAAACAGGTTTAAGTGACTTGCCCACAGTCACACAACTAGTAAGTGTCTGGGGTCAGATTTGAACTTATGAAGATGAATCTTCCTGACTCCTGGTGCTCTATTCACTGAGCCACCTAGCTGCCCTAGATTTGAGGAAGCCAGCTTCAAATCCTGGTTCTACATCCTGTGTGACCTTGGACCAATCACTTAACACATCTCTGAGCCTCATTTCCTTCATCTTTAAAATGGGAATAATAATGCTTATACTATCTCCCAGAGTTGTGGGAAAGTGATCTGTAGATTCTAAAGTGCTATGTAAATGTGGGATATTTAATTTATGTTTTATTTCACTGTCTACATGTTATACCACCTCTATTCCCTTCCTGCCTTGAATTTTAAGCTCCTTTGTGTCAGGGACTGTAATTTTGTGCCTTATTTTCTTTTCTTTCTCTATCCCTCAAATATCTTTGAAGCCCAGAGGAAATAATATTTAGTAGAGAATGCAGAACTGGGAGGGGTCCTTGGATTAATTTATCAATATTCCTTTCTCCCCTTTGGATGACCTTGGGGAGAAAGGGCTGGACAATTCCCTCTCAGGTTAGATTTTGGTGGCCCAGAGGGAAGCAGTCAGATTCAACCTCCACAGTATAAAAGGAGAGGCCCCCAAAGGGCCCCATGAAATTCATGCCATGAGAGTCACCAGCAGGTGAAACAGTAAGAGAGACTAACTTGGAGAAAGAGGACTTTGGTTCAAGTCTTAAATCAGACACTTACTGGCTGTATGATCTTAGACAAATCATTTACCCTAAAATGAAAACTCTTTGAATTCAAGAACTGTTTCATATTTATCTTTGTAGCCTTGATGGCTAGCACAATGCCTGCCACGTAATGAAGATGGTGATGATTATAGATGAAAAAAATCTTAATTAATAAAACTTAATACTTGTCTGCTGAATTGAAATGAATTAAACCTCAACTTCCTCATCTGTAAAATGGGCATAGTAATACCTCCTTTTATACTGTATAAGATACTTTATGGGGTTGTTGTAAAAAGTAAAGCCCTATATGGCAAACCAGTATCTTTGCCAAAAAAACCCCCAAATGGGGTCATGAAGAGTTGATCATCACTAAAGCACCAGATCAACAACAACAAAGCCCCATATAAACGAGGTCCATTATCATTTATTACCTCCAGAAGGCCCCTGTTAAAATACAAGACCCGGGAAGCCCCCTGGCCTCTCCCATCATTGCAGTTTATATATCAGATTTGTGAGTTGTCACCTTGGGCCCAGAGCAGACTCAGGGTGTGGAAGGAGGGGGAATGAAGTGGAGGCAGGCAGGCAGGTGGTAGAAAGGTAAGCCTTGGGATCAGATTGATCAGGACAGGCCCAGGGCAATGGGATGGCCAGGGTGGATGTCTGTTGGAGGAAACACTGAGGACAAACTATACAATAATGACAAAAATGCCTACCCTGGGGATCACCTGGTAGGTATAAAAAGTGTTAGATGCCCAATCTGGTGGTGTAGACATGAATTAAAAATTAAAAAAGGAAAACAACAACCAAAAAACCCTTTGCTCAGTCATCTGAAGAATGCAGATGGAAGCAAATTTTCTTTCCTCAATTATCTGTATAACTGACTGTGCTGCTCTGTCCCACAGCTGGCGGATTTTAAAAAGAAAAGATGAAAAAAAATTCAAATTCAAATCCTACTTGAAAATCAGACAAATTTGAGTTAGCTCTGAATTCTGGGGGAAAAAAATCTCTCTCTCTCCCCACCTTCCCAATGCATATTATTATCAGAACTGATTTTATGGAAAGACTTGTGATGGAACATTGAACAATTTCAGTTGGAGGAGGAGGGGTGGGGGTGGGGATGGGGAGCCTCTTGGCCTTTCTCCAGATGTGACAAGAGTGGTAACTTGCTAGCAGGTCTCCTTTTGCTCCCTGCCTGAGAATGGGTTTGTGTGTGAATATTCTTGGCTCTTGGCTACAGGAACAGGTGCCTCCTGTTTCTAAAGGACAGAAGCTGCAAGCTGTCCTTGCTTTGCTCTTGGAAACAGGGAGTTAGTTGTGATCTGCCCACCAGCTGCTGGGTGCTAGACCTCTCTTGCCAACGATGGCTGGAACATGCTTTCTGCCCTTGGGTACTTGATCCTTGTAGCCCCCAGAGACATCGTCAGGGCCTCGAGTGGTTAAAGATGATTCCTATAAGTCTGGGTGGACTGGTACATACCTGGTGTCCCTGCTACTGCGGAGGCTGAGGCTGGTGGACCACCTAAGTTTGGGAGTTCTGAGATGTAGTAGGGCTGAAGCCAATCAGGGTGTCTGCACTGCCTAACACTGGAACGGTGAACCTCTGGAAGTGGGGGAGGAGGGGACCAGACTGCCTAAGGAGGTGTAAACTGGCCCAGGTCAGAAATGCCAGTCAGCATGGGGATGGTCCCATGAATGGCCACTAGACTTCCAGCCTGGGAGACATAGGGAGACCCAGTCTCAAAAAATTTTTTTTAAAAAAGAAAGATTCCTTTAAAATAATAGAAAACACAAAACCTGTGAGTATATACTAGATCAAGAACAAATGAAATTCTCTTTTTGGGAAATTTTCTTTAGGAGAAACCCACCTTCCTGAAACGTTCCACTTAATTAAAAAAAATTATTAAGCATCTATTTGTGGAAGACTGGGTGCTAGGCACTGGAGATAGAAAAGATTGATAGGACTTAAGGCTTGCTTTCAAGGAGTTTATAATATGAGCCTATGAGCTAATTGGGAGAGGGGAGGACATGTACAGAAATAGCTAGGATTTGAGGGACCACAAGATAAGTGCAAAGCAGAGGTCCCCCACAAAGTGCCCAAAGAAATCCATGAAGGAAAGGTTGCTTTCTAGACACAAAGGAATGGACGAACTCATGAGATCATTAGCTATAGAACTGAAAGGGACCTCAGAGGTGATCTAGGTCTCTTTTTACTGATTGGGGTAGTTAAATGACTTGCCCAAGGTCATATAGATAGTAAGCTTCAGAGGTGGAATTTGAACTCAGGCCGTTCAATTCTACTGTACCATAATTAGCCTGGAACTGATATTTGGAAACTAGATTCAGGTCCCAGGTTTGTCAGTGTTTCATTGTGTGACCTTGGGTACTCTTCTCTAGGCCTCAGTTACTCTAGCTGTTAACCAGAGATCACTTTTACTATTTATCTGAGGATCTAATGAGATAAGAATATTGGTAGTAATAGTGGGATATAATAATAATCTGTTATAGCTGGATAGTAGTTTACAGTAGGTGTATAATCAATGTTTGTGGACTGAGTGATTAATTTATAAGGGACTTTCACAAGCATGATTTGATTTCTACAATAACTTTGTTGTTGTGAGGCAGCAAGGTATAGTGAAATGATCTCTGGACTTCAATTCAGGATGCCTGGGTCCATGGACTGACTCTCACACTTATTAATTTATTTCACTTCTCAACTTAACACACACCTGTTAAGCACTTAGTATATGCAAGGTGGAGAGGTGGCATGTTATCATAGTGGGTAGAAAATCTGCCTCAGAATCAGGAAGACCTAGGTTCAAGTATCATGTCTGACTCCTACCATGACCTTGGGCCGGTCTTTTAATCTCTTACTGCCCCCAGGCAACTCTGGATGATTTCAAGTGGCAGGTGGGAGTTTTCCTCAGTAGGCCCTTATACCACTGAAATAACAGTTCCCAACCAAAGAAAACATGTTCAAGGCTTTGTAATAGGTGATGGGGATAAAAGCCCAA